AAATGTCCTACCGTTAAACTATCATGGGATTGATGCAGCACAACTTCCCGTAACTTTCTCGGGATAACCGTTTGCCAGTTCGTCACTTTCCCATCTGCAGTTTCCCATCTCTGGAGAAGAATATCATCTTCTAACTTCAACTGGTCCCATTGTGCCCAATAGTTCTTTGTCACAGGGCTTAGACTAGACACCTTCTCCCAAGCAGGGCCCAAAACACTTGCTTTTTAGAAAATCAATTATTGGCTTCAAATCTTGGTCTTTCTCCTGCTCTGATTTAATATCTATACCTGGTTCCATTTCACCATCATCAACTCCTTCAGTCACTTTGACTTCAGCTTGATGACACCTGGTTAGTTCAACCTCTCTTTTGCAGCAATGTCTGCAGTCATATTTGCAGGGTATTCGGCTCAGTCCATCGGAATTTCCATGACATTTTCCTTCTCTGTATTCAATATCATAATCATACTGGTCTATCTTTCCGATCCAACGTGTCAATTGTCTCTCTGGGTTCTTTAATGATTTTAACCAGCGTAATGCAGCATGGTCTGTCCTGATGGTGAACCTGGCACCATAGAGGTAAGGATGGAAATATGTCAGACACTTCACTATAGCAAGTGGTCTACTCAAAACCCTACTGAAGTAGGCCACCACATGTTCGTTTTCGCCCACTTTCTGACACAACACTCCTCCAATTCCGACATTACTAGCATCACAATCTAGTATGTACGGCAGTGAGGGATTTGGAAGCTTTAAAAGTGGAGATGAGGCCAATTTTTCTTTCAATGTCTTGAAAGCATGCTGGCAAGAAATTATCCATTCGAACTTCTGGCCTTTTTTCATCAAATCATGTAGTGGAGCAGCTATAGTTGCAAAGTCCTTCACAAATTTGCGGTAGTAACTACAGAGTCCCAAGAAACTTCTTAACTCTCCCACATTCTCTGGTGTTGGCTAACCACACACTGCTTTCACCTTGTCAGGATTAGTTTGCACACCATGATCACTTACAATGTGATCTAAGTAAAGCACATCTTTCTGGAACAAGTGGCATTTCTTGGGATGGAGTTTGAGATTTGCTGCTTTCAAACGCTTGAATACTTTCTCTGGCCAGAACATTTCCTCATCATAAGTTGTTGCAAATACAATGACATCATCCAGGTACACTAGGGCTATCCTCCATCGTAGGCCTTCCATTACTCTTTCCATCAGCCTCTCAAATGTTACTGGAGTATTGCCAAGCCCGAATGGCATCACACGGTATTGCCAGAGACCTTGGCCATAACTAAATACAGTCTTAGGTTTATCTGTTTCAGCCATTTTCACTTGATGGAAACCTAACTTTATGGGGTTGGTGGGCGTCCCTCAACACCAATCACTACTGGTTTCCCCGAGGCTGACTTATTGGTAGTATTCCTCTTACACTGGCTCCTCATATGTTCTTGCTCTCCACAGTTCCAACAACCTTTCTGGGTAGCAGCTTTTCCTGCCGTGGCATCTTCCCTGTGTTTAAGTTGCTGGCAGTGAGCTCTCTTGTGCCCAGGTTTGTTATCATGCCAGCAAAGTCCCTCAAACCTCCCTGAAACCTGACCTTTTCTGGCCT